GAATGACTCAGTATACGCCTAGTTAACGTTACTAATTGTTTTAATAGGCCAGCAGGTTTAGGTTGTGATTTTTGCTGCACCATACCGTAAAACTTTGCTGAAGGCACTTGCTGAGGGCCAAGACGGTATCGACGACATTTGTATAGCACATATTGAAGCTCATTTGGACAATTTTAAAAGTAATGTTGAGCAGTTGGTGAAGTACTACATAGTTAAAGGGTTGGATACTCCTAACCCGGCAAAGTTAAAAAATTAGAATAACTTCCGATGTACAAAATGCCTTTTATTTTCTTTAAAATGATGTTCATTTCGACGTCCTTGGAAGAATAATAGCCGTTTTGAGATTTTCTGCTGGCAACCATCAATTCTCTTTCTAATCTGTTAGTCTTTCTAGACTTCGCAAGCGCCAGTTTGAGTTTAACGAGCTGTGCTGTAAAGTTATGCTCGTTGTGTAACTAAGAATCTTATTCTTCTAACAGATGTTGGCTAGTAAAGGCTACTTTCTATCTAAAAAGGCTTGCTGACTTTTTAGTTGTTCCCACGGTACCAGCTAAGGGTGCTTATCAAGTGTTGCTTTTTTTTTCGCAGTCAATAAATTATTGAACTGGAACTTTAAAACTGAAGAAACATTTATTTTAGCATACTTGAAACGGAACACATAACAAATAAACACGCATAAGCAGCATTTCTTATTGGAAGAAGAAGTTTTGTATGCATTTGGATGCCTATTTTGATCAGAGCGCTACGAGGCGCGCACTGCCAAAGCATAAATGCAGAAGGCTCCATCAGATACTAGAGCAAAGAAATCGCTTAAGAAGCAGATGGAGACTCAGGCGCAAAAAGGGCTGCTGTTCCTTTGGTGCAAGTGAAAGCCAAGCCTAAAGTTGGCGACTTGTGGCGAAAACTTTATTTTCTTTAGAGGTGCCTTTTTTAGGGATTTCTGGCTGTCAACCCATCATTTCTTACACTACATGGACACGCTACGGTGGCGGACCATGTGGCTCGGGACATCAGTGAAGTTGTTGGCGCAGTCCATTCAGTACATCTCACTCAACTTGGTGGCCATGGGAAAAATTACTAGGGCTGCGTCCACCGCATTACCATGGTTGCCGTTAACCTTCTCCAGATCATTTCTAGCACCACTTTAGTGCGGCCAACTGGGGACTCAATTACTCGTCGTTTTCCAGCACGAACTTATCACTGCTTTGAGTGCGCATCCTGTTCACAAGCTTTTCCTTCTCTCTTTTGAACGCTTCTCCTTGGCCTCATCAGTGAAAACAGGATATTGTTCCATGGATGATGCGGCCTTTCACTCTGTACTCGCTGGTACCGCTAATAAATAAGTAGTTGGCACTTTACTCCAGGTGGTGTGTGCTCTACCACTGCCTATCAAAATTAGGTGGGCTGGGGAACAAGAAACCACGCCATCGTTCCGAATGATAGCAGATGTTAGAGTACCGCTGACAGCCGACGACGATACTTTCTTAGTCCCGTGCAACAACGCTTATACGAACCATTGGGCAGTAACTTTAGAGTTGAGGGAACCTGGCTCACAGGCATATTATGCATCAAGAAATCAACTGTTTCTATCCATATAGCAAATACTCTGGACACCTGTTTTGCTCATATCACGAATAACAGGAACAGTGACATTTTATGAGAGAAGACTAAAATGCGATACTTAATAAAAACTTTTATCATTGGTATGTGACTGTATGCAAAGTCTACATTACAAAACTAAAATTTTCGGAGATTTGCAAGTTACCTAAGTGGATCAAAGTGGGGTAAGTTATAAAAGAATGAACATATTTATAAGTAATGGGTGATTAAAATCTTGGAAAATAAATTCTGAACGAATAAAAGAAAATAGTACTCACTAGCCAGGAGTATTCAAGCTCAAAATTCAAATCGCACAAACATGAAGCATTGTATATACATCTTGCCTGTAAATATGTAAACTTTCATGTTAAAAAATCTTTTTCTTACAAATTACCACGTGCATTGTTTTTTTACACTAATATCATCAGTCCCTGAACACTTCCTCTTTAATACACCGTGACTTGAATTGCACTCAGCTGATTCTGACGTATTTGAACACATGAGGTTTTTCAAATAAGTTGCTGAGATTTCAGGGCTTACCTGGAAATAAGAGGTTTACTAAGTACTTTCTAGGAAGATAACTGATAAAGATAAATTGTTATTTTACCTTTTGTAAGCACCTGATTATATGACTAATAGCATCACTATGTTCTTTTATGACGCGCCCTTGTTCTGCAATTGTCTTCTCTTGTATCCTGATTTTCTCCTCTAAACTTTTCTTCCACTCATTCATTTTTGCAAATTCTATTACTGAGAGCGGGCTGGACGCGGTACGTGACGTAGAAGGTGTGGCCAGACTGAAAAGTGTGCCCATCTTCATCACTACTTAAAGTTTCGTCCAAAAACAAGGCTACTTGAAAAGTAAATCTACACCAAGAAATATATCCTCCGCAACAGCTTAGATATGTTATCAACCAGATGAATATTTAGCCTAGTAAAGGCTGAAAACATACCTACTGTTTACTGACACTGCAGTGAAGGGGGAACGGGCTGGGAGAGCACTGGAAGCAAAGCAACTTCTCGAACGACAAGGAAAAGAAAATGGATCACTTGTTTGAAGTGTAGGAGCGATGTGATCATCAAAATACTCAATAGCCATGCTGCAAATGTAACATAAAAAGACAGAAAATCCACATACTCTTGTAAAATGAATATTTTCTTTTCAGCTGAACTACTAATGTAATATTGTACTGCAAAATTTTTGCACACTACTGAAAATTAATTGGATCTAATTAAACAAAACAGATATAAAATAAGTAAGAAAACTTAGTAAATAAGTATAACAGTTTCACGCATAAGCAAAAATGCCCACCTCGAATAATCACGTATATCTTTAAGCAAGTCTTGGGCATCTTCTGGCTGCTCTTTCTTCTTAACACATCTACCTAAATAATGTAACACGCAGAACGCTTCATCAAGAATCTGAAAAACTGACTAGAAGTTTTTCATAAATTCACTGCGGTGAGAGAGACGTTTTAAGGTTTAAATATTTAACTTTGAAAACACTAGAAAGCGAACTACTTAAAAACTAAAAAAATGTAACTTTTCCAGCTATGAAGCAGGAAGCGCCATCTTCTATGTATCGTTTAAAAGTCATGTTCAAGAGCGCGAAGCGAGTTTCCAGAACTGAGTAAGTTTCACTAATTCGTGCTAATGGATGGTACCTGCAAAGATAACAGAGCTCTGGATGCGTTGCGAAGGAAAATTGAATAAAACAAGCGTTTATAATTCTGAAGCCTCAATAAAAGAAAAAATGATCAGTTCTACTTGGCCTTTAATAACTGAGGATGACTAGCATCTCCACAGAGGTAGCTTACACAAGACGAACAATCTTCGAAAGAACTAGAACCTTCTTTTCGACTCCCTTTTTGGAAGCATACGTTTTACTTCCTGCATAGCGGACTCTAGTTCCAAATTAAGTCGCTTAAAAGCGATGTTCAGTTTTGACTGCGCAATGGTGTCAAAGGTCTTACACACCTAAAGAAATAACAACGAAAAAGTCGTAGTTTTGTAAAAACGGGGACTAAAATCCAAACTTTTAGTAAAAACAAAAAAAAAAAGGGAAACAACGTTTATTTGAGACCAGGAAGAAAAAAGTGCTTACTGCTCTATATATGCTCAGTTGTTCATAGCTTAAGTACTCAAAAATATATGATATTATTTCGGTTGGCAGTTCCAAAAGCGAAGATGGAGGTTCCGCTTCAACTGGTAATGGTCCAGGTGTAGCTTTTCCTTGAATTGCCACACGGTTCTTACTTTTGCTGGGTAATACTGAAGTGTTCGATCCTAGTTGCATGTTGTCAGCAGAAGATTGTTGTAAACTACTTTCTGAGACTTCTACTGCTGGAGTACGTGTTGATGCCTGTGCGCCATTGTCCATTTTCAATGTTAACTGCAAAGGACAAACGCCTGCAAACTTAAACAGGGGGAAATAAATATTTTGTCCCGTTACTGCAGACGCTAATTTTAGAGTATTTACCTGAAATAAAACAACAACAATGAGAAGAAGCCAAGAACGTTAAAATACTGAATTGATGTGCGTCGAAAGTAGCTGCATAGTATGATAAATAAATCATAATAAAGAAATGGTCACGAAAATAAGTGATGAAGATATTTGTAAGTGAACTAAACAAGTTGGTGTTTGCTCATTTAGCAAGAAAGCAAAAATAAATATAACATCCTCGAAACTCAAACCGATCTACAGAAGACAGGAGGTATCATTAAGGCAGAGTTATAAGAACCTGTAGACTAAAACGCCACAGCTTTCTCCATTTAACATACTCTATAAGAGAGTTACATCGCATACAGAGATGCAACAGAAGTAACTGATGGAAGAATCGACGATTACCAAGTAAGCTTCTTTAAATAACTGTGCACAGTGGACAATGCTGCAAAAGAGACTAACTGCTGGAAATAATAGTAACTAATAGTTAGCAAAATATTCCATATGAAGTCTCGAATGGAAGTTGGAAATATGCCATCTGTTTGTCCGCTGCAATTCGAAACTTACACTGCGTATATATTTACATTGCCGACCTGAAGTAAACCATCGAATCGCTGAAGTGATTATTAGTTGCAGTAGCACAATGGCTGGTCCAGCAAAGTGCTAAATCCAGCCTTTGTTAGAGGTTGCATTTCAAGGTTTCTATAAAAGTATAGTACTTTTTGGACTATACTGGTAGTGGTGTTGAAATAACCCCACTGCTGGGATAGATTATATACTTCAGCTGGTTGTATTTACGACTGCACATTGCGGTCGTCTCCCATCATGGGTTGCTTTTCAAAAGTTTAGCAAAAAATTCTCGTTTTCGAAGATTAGAGAGTTATACAAAGAGGGAAGAGCATTCATTGTGTATCTTTGCACTGAAATTTTTAGTCGTCTTGTGAACAAAAATTAAAGTTTCTCGCTGTAAATGCTGTTGTATAGAACGAAGTAGCAATTGCGGTAATTGTAAATATACCGCCATCAACCCTTGTGATTACTGCAACTTATATTCAGAACAAGTTTTGTCCAATACATTTGTCTCCAGAATGAAATGTGTGGGGAAGAACAACTTTGTGAGCTTCAAATATTTCAACTCCAGTTCTTTAATCTTTGTTAGATCTGCGTTGAGTGTGTATAATTTAAAAAAATTTTGGCAAAGCTAAAATTGAGTCCAAGAAGGTCTTCCTTGTATTGGGAAACATCTTTGACGTACACTGGAGGTACTGAGGCTTCTGAAAGAATCCGACCTTATGAGAAATGCTTATTTACATCCTCGTTGAGGGGGCGACTTGAAAATACTAATAAATGCTTAAAATTTCATAAGATGCCCGTTTTTTGTTTAGTAATAGTGTTAATCTAACCTCATAAATTCAGCAAGGGTGTTTTATAGTGGTAAGACGTTATAAGTGAACCTGACTGATAAACTGTGTTTTAAGATGGAAACAGTGGTGCACGAGATCGTTTAAATATTTAGCCTGGAATAATTTTGCATATGGCCCTTCACAATGTATGACGTTTCATCAAGCCTTAACTGCTTTACATCTGCTAGCTAATTGATGCAATTTGTAGTTAAGATTGTTTTCCCAGTTGGATAAACGGTCTCCATTCCAATGGCATACGATTCATTAGCGTCTCTAGGGATCTGCTTTGTCATACTCGGTTGGTAACTTCCTTTATCAGTTCAAGCGCTGTTTCCTAACAGAATTAACGAAATCAGCTTTAAAGGTATATTAGTCGGCTTGTAGTGAGATAATTTTTAAGACAGTAACCAATGTGGACTTTAAGTGAAACCTCTGATGACGTGCGTTCCAATGACTCACTTTTTGTCTGAAGAACACGAGCTTACTGCGAAGCTAGATCTCATAGGGAAAAAGGACGATTGACACGTTGAGAACATGCCTTGAAGCAAATAAAAGCACTATGGGGATGAAAATGGTAGTCTTGTCTGTTTAACTGTATTTCTAATAAACTGCAGTTTTCAAAGAGCGAGGGCTGTAGAAGGCTGACAACGAATTCATTGTATATGAAAGTTGCTATTCGAAGTGTTGAAGGTGGTAAGAGTTACTGATACATGTTTAAAATGCCTTCCATTGTAGGTGCATTAATTGTTGCAGTAGTTACATTGGAGCGAAACTGGTCACAAGTCCTTGTTGCTGTGCTTTTTTTTTTTTGAATTCTCAAATGACTCAGGTTCTAGCAAATCTTCAAGTTTAGTCAAAATGATATAACTTTGGTTTCAATTTGAGTAAGGGGCTGCAAGACTAAAAAAGCTACTACCTTACAAGTGACCAGTTCCTTCGCGCCAAACCTTTAACTTAAACCTTATTACCTGGTTGTTCTTCCTAACACAATTAGCTGTACCGACTCGCAGAGCTGACAAACAACTGAACGCAAAAGAATGCTGAGGCCACGAAGAGAAGGTAACAGTACTTCGAGAGGCTTCGTGAATTCCAAGAAGTAATAACACG